CATTCTTCTTGACCTATTATTTCAACCAAGGTAAATGAATGAGGTGAAATCCTTAAAATGTAAGGAGAAAAAGTAAATGAAATACTTATCTTGTCCCAAGTAGTTAGGTACTAATAAAACTTTTTATTTCGATTGTTCAAAATGTGTTTGTTCTCCCAAGGAGAATAAAAAAAGAGAAAACTTATATATATATATATATATATATATATATATAACCTTGAAAATGTAGAGGAGGCCTCATCTTCTTTTTTGCTAAAACTCAGATTTGAAGAAGGTGAGACGTTAGTTCCATTTTTGACCCTTTCTTTTCTCGGCCTATATATGGGACTCTATTGGATTACACTGACGCAGGGAATGGGGGATGTACTAAATATTATTACTAGGAGAATAACTGAATTAAATTTAGTGATTTCATTTAATCCTTTTAGGAAGTTGTTTACCACCATTGATTCATTTCCATAATATCTTATTCTAGATTCGAAGCACCTGGGTTCAGATTGCTGTATAGACACTTGGATAAACGTACTTAATTTAGTTGAGAATTCATTCCTTGCCAAACTATAAAACAAATGCAAACGAAAAAAAAAAAGTGAACGTTAAATTATCTTGATCACTTACAGATGCAAATTAAACATGTGAAATTTATCGAATTATTTGGTGGAATGCTGAAAAAAGTCATAGCCCTTAAAGATTTAAGACTTTAGTTGGCTCCACCATCAATGGATGTTGATACTCTCTAAAGTGATATGTATGTCAATGTCATTAAATAATTATGTCTACCTAAGAATTTTAGCTACAAGATGTTGTCGAAGATCCAAACTAATCCTTTGCTGCCTTGTAAAGGCAACATGAAAAAAATTCCAAATTGCTCCTCCTAATATTGCCTTCTAAATGAAGGATTAATGAAAGAAACATTCATTTTCTATATCTAGCAACTTTTCTCTATCAAGATTGCTGGTGCATTTATATACTGCTTATTAAAGAAGCCAACATATTCCCAAACAACGCATGTGGTCAATTGTTTCAGAATATACCGTACCATCTATATATACATACATTCAAAGTACAAAATGATATGCTTCAAACAAGGAAATGCACCATAATATAAAAGATATAATCAGTTTCCTGCATAGTATTTCCATTTTTCCGTAATCTTAAAGTTGTTACATTTGCTCCTAATTAATTTATCCAAAAATAGAAGTTATAACCGGCTGGATTCACTATTTACTTTTTCTATCCGACATACATTCTATTCGATATACACTGTTATACATGAAAATTTTCAAGATATTTGGACGTACCTGATTCAGCAAATGGACTGGCAAGTTGGCAAGTTCCAACTGGTAAGAGAACTTTCTGCTTCAGTCTTCTCAAATCAGGCTTGTAAATCCATGCATTTCCTTCATACCATATTTGATCATCACACCTGAAAATCTCAAGCATAGGACTACATGGTCCTACGAAAACAACGTACATTTCACGTGAAATATCGCGAAAACCCCATCCATTTTTTACTAAAAGATTAGCCACGACTAGGTTCACTTGTAACCTAAACACATTGGTTGCATTTGCACAAGGAACCCTAGCTAAAACCACATCCAAATCTGCATATTCGTCAAGCTCTGGCATGGGAATTTCAGGACATTGTGATGATTTCTGAGGTACATTTTCATCGATCCATTCTGGGAATAAGTCCTTCCACGTGACACTTTGATTTACACGACGAAAATGAACGTTCACTAGTTCTGCTTCGTCGTGTAGATCTTTGACTTCAACGTTGGTTCCATGCAAGTTGACTAGTCCGATTTTGAACTTTGTATTCTTGGTTTCATTTTCGAGATATTTGTACCAACTAGGCCTTGTGACATGCCTAGGAAAGATTTCTGTTGGTTGTTTCTGATTGTGTAAGGTGTGGATTATGGTTTCATGGCGTTTAGGGCTGTGTGATATACTTAGGTAAACGAAGACTATGAAAAAAGAGATTATTGAAAGGGTGAAAAGCTTTGGTTTTGAATGGGAAGACTTGGAACCCATTTTTCAATTTTTGATTCATTTGAATATGTGAGGTGTATTTGTAATTGAATTTACCCCTAAATAAGGAAATTAATTTAAAGGAAAGAAAAGTTATTTGCATTCACGAAAATTAAAGTAAAATGCAGTGAACTTTCAATTGCTTGCCTTTAGATATATCCAAACCATACAAGACTGTGTTAGACCATATCAGCACTGCTTGTGATCAAAATGTTTTATGGTTGTTTTCCACACTAATTAATTCTCATTTTAATGTTATCACATGTGATGCGATATATGCTTCCATTTTAAATTTGTTTTCCATATTGATCTTATAGCGTCATACAATTGGAGGCGTGCTAATGAATATATCCCATTTCATGGGTCATAATTAGTTGGTAGATCTTTTTAACGTGAGATGAGTTGGGTGTTGAAGTAGGATAATTAAATTAAATATGCCCAAATCGATGCATAAGAAAAATTGTGAAAATATTTTTAAGAAAATACTTTTTTTTTGTTTGATATATTAGATATAGCCATAATAAGGAAATTTATTTTTAACTAATTGTTTAGCCCATCTTAACCAACCGATTTATTATCCATTTTGATAAGCCAACCTATCCATCTACTTGGAGGCCCCCAAATCCATTTCTCACTGCCAAATAATTTAGGAATTTTTACCTCCTATAGCAAATGTTAACACCTTATTTATTTTAATAAATACCATTTTAAAAAATTATACTCTATAGATACCTTTTAAGGTTTATAGCAAATATTTAATTTTGGTTATCTCCTAGCCCTAAGCCACTGAATACGCTAATCAGTTACACTTTTTTCTTTCTCTTTCTATTTTGATACATCCTATTCTCTTCCCCCATCCCATTAAAATTTCATATCTCCTCCTCCTTCCACTGGCTCTTTACGAATTTTGGATCGGAGTAGTACAACAACAACAACAATAACAACAACAACAACAACCTAGTATAATCCCACTTAGTGAGGTCTGGGGAGGGTAGTGTGTACGCAGACCTTACCCCTACCCTAGGGTAGAGAGACTGTTTCCAAATAGACCCCCGACATCCTTCCCTCCAAGAACTTTCCACCTTGCTCTTGGGGAGACTCGAACTCACAACCTCTCGGTTGGAAGTGGGGTTGCTTACATCGAGTGATTATTGCCGGCCGGTTGTACCAACAATAGGTTCATACTTTGGATAAAGCTTTTACGTCTCAGTGTGGTCTGTAAGAACTTCTTTTTTCGGTTGGCCTGTAAGAACTTGACAAAAACATTTTATTTTGGCGTTCTTTATATGTTTAAATTGTGGTTGTGATCACCTCAAGGCATTCCAGGTTGATTTTGTGGAGGAATTGATTAAACAAGCTGGGGTGGTGGCTGTACCAGGCCGTGTATTCTTCCATACCAATTCGTCAAAATTAGAGGACTTTTCTTCGACTGCTATTACCTACCACATGAGGTATATCAGATCTGCGTTCTGCAAAAGTGAGGAGACATTAGCTGGTGCTTCACAAAAGTTAACCGAGCTCGTAGATGGTTCAGGGAGACTGGAGCTATTTTAGTAGTAATTAGACATCTATAGATACCATTTCAATGTATTTCATTGTATTCATTGTCTTTTTTTTCTCATTGTATTTCAGTGTATCCCGCTGTATTCTATGTATTTCATTGTATTCACTATCTCGTTATATGCCATGAATGTATTCATATTTTTTTTTAATTAATACAATTTATGTATTCAGATGTATTATATAATTTCTCTGAAGATTGCTATGTTTTTGGGGTATTTTCCGGCTGAGAATCTTTTTTATAACTGAAAATACAAATTTTGTGTGTTATAATTGAGTTTGTTGAGTTATATTAGGAGTCTATTATGTTAATTGATTCACTTTCCATTTTAAAAATAGTGTAATCCCCTATTTCACGCCGTGAATACAGTCGAATACAATAATCTGTCCAGCTGTAATCCCATGTTTTACTCCATGAATACAGTCGAATACACTCAAATACAACAACTGATTAGCTGGACTTCCCTGATTCACGCCTATTTTTTGCTACTGTATTCATGAATACAGTAGCTTAAATACATCAAATACATCTTATAACCACATAAAAGATATCTATAATCCGTAATATAGCAAATGATATTTATAAATGGCAAATTACTACTAAAATATGGTACTTTATGAAAATTTCTCAATAATTTACAAGGCGAGATGTCCCTAGACCTAATATAAGTTCATTGCACATTCAAGAGATAAAGAACTAACATAAACTGCTATCATTTGGACAATAGGGCCACAAATGGCGCCTTATTTCGTAATGATGCATATTAAGTATTTATAATATCTCAGCTTTTATAACCAAAAAAAACATAAACTTTTATTGTGAGTATTTCAATGTCAAAATAAAATGTCCAATACAGTAGATAAGTTGAGTCTTTTTCTGCTAACAAAAACGCTTCAAATTACGCGGAGTTAGAAACCTCTTAAAAATTTGGGGCTCTTTACGCAAATAGCATGTCGAATTTACTGTTTATATTTTAGCCAGTATATAGATTATACACTTTTATATATTGTTATACATATATTATATATCTATACATCCATCGGCTATTTTAGGGGGCTATAAAGGTTAATTCTTCTTTTAAAATTTCGAAGATTAGTAAACATTTGGAGAAACACATGTGCCATAAACATGAAAGTCATTCCCAGTGTACTTAGGACAAGAAAATAGGAACAGAGATAACGAAATACACACATCACTGAATCTAACAATAAATGAAGCACAGAATTTGCACTTGCAAAAATTAGAGATCTACCCCTAATAAATACATATATACATTAGGCTAATTGAAAGAGAGACTGTAATAGAAATATTGTAACCAAATGGAGATCCTATCATGCTAGAAATATAACATATTGCAAAATACTAAAAGGGAAATTGTTAGTATACATGATCTGAATCTCTTGTTAGACTAATTATCAAATAATAAATCAATAGGAAAGTCTTCATGCTTTCTTGGATCTTTCACTTCAATCCTCCAATGCCCATTTGAAAATTTAGCTTTCTTGGCTCTTCCCCTCCACTTAATTATCCTTGCATTCATTTCTGGGGTCAATGCACAATATTGCCTAAGCTCAACAGCCATTTTCTTGTACACTTTCCACCACCTCTCATGTGCTGAATCACTCGCAAAAATTTGAGATTCCACCTTATCCCAATTACAATCATAGTCTTCGTAACACATCCATGGCTTTAATCCCAAATAATGTACAGTATACGAATCATCGCGAAGGTCGCGATGACTCGAGTTCCCAAAAATCTTGAGAGCATTTAATTTACTAGGCCACCTATGCCACCACACAAACATTTCATTTAAAAAGCCTTGATCACCCCCATTATATGAACCTACTTCAAACCTTTTGTTCATTAAATTTTGGAACTTGCATTTTGATGGTTCTATGATCATAACACCCGAATTGAAAATGTAACCATCATTTCCAGCAGCTGATAGATCTGGATACGAAAAGAATTGATCGATGTTTCTAAAAACCACGAAATCTGAATCGATGAATATGACTTTATCGTATTCGCTGAGTTGCCATATTCTGAGCTTGCTGTAATTCCATTCATTATATGCATTTTTCTCAGCATGTGGACTTCTTATTCTTTTGATTTTCTTGATTTTCCAGCCTGCTGATCTAAGGCCAAGAAGGGATTTTGGAGAAATTGAGTCATCTGCTAAGAGCACAAGGTCTCTAGTAGAGTTAGTTTGAATGATGCTTTGTGCCAAAGCTATTGCTCCACAAACATAGGCTTCTGAGGAATGGAGAACTGTCACATAAGCTTCTCTTATTTCGTCCATTGCTAACTGCCCTGCATGTTAATTATTAAACAAGACTTTAACTTTTATACACAGATGGTGTAAATATTTACAAAAAATATCACTTTACATGTAACTATCAGGTAAAAGTGATTAAAAGTATCATCTTTTTTTCCCCCCCTTGGTTAGTACTCGGCTTGACAAAAATGTCTTCTAAGAAAAGACGTATTTGATATTCCAAATATATGTAACATGATTTTCTAATAAAATTTTCTTGATGTAACGTTTTGGCATATTTGATTGTCGGTATTTTTCTCAACGTACTTTCTATAGATGAATTACGAATCGAGAATTCATACCCAACAGCAATCTTAACCACCAAACGAGCAAATCGAGAAATGTAAAAGCAGATAAAACTAATAAATTGAGAACCCATACCGAACTTGCTTGTGCTCTGGTTATGAATTTTTGGATTATTGATGACTAGTTAGTTAAAATAAAATATGCAGTTTTTTCTCTCTGAGATAGAGTACAAAATTTGCTTTGCTGCTAATTCAGTAAAATTCTTTAAGAAGTCAAGCTAAAATTATTCAAAATTCAAATACAATCAAACTAAAAGAAAAAAACTCTGTCCCAATTGATGTGGCACAATTTTCTTTTTATTTTTGTCACAGAAAACATGATATCTTTTTATACATGAAACAATTTAATTTTAAAAATTTTATTTTATCCTTGATGAGATTATTTATAAACTAAACAAATGTGTGTCTTGTTTTTCTATTACAAGTTTCAAAAGTATTGCATTCTCTCTTAAACTATAAACTATGTGTCCAGTCAAATAAGATCACATCAAATTAGAAGAAGAAAAAATAATTCACCTTGTTCTGGAAATGGACGAGCAAGCTGACAACTACCAACAGGTATAAGAATTTTTTGCTTCAGCCTTTTCAACTCAGGCTTATAAACCCACAAATTCTCTTCATGCAACAACATGTCTTCACATCGGAAAATCTCCCACATTGGCCCACAATCGCCGATAAACACTGCATACGGCGGCCGTTTATTATTATTATTCCAACTCCCACCACTTCTTACCAACAAGTTAGCCACCACCAAGTTAACTTGTAACCTAAAAACATCCCTAAAACCGAACCCTGCTTTTTTACATGGAACCTTTGCAATAACAACATCCAGTTCCTCGTACTTCTCGAAAACCGGCATTGGTATTTCTGGGCACGTAGGCTTGGCTGAAACCTCATCTTCATCAATCCATTCTGGAAACAAGTCTTTCCACTTAATTTTATCCGAAACTCTAGGAAATTTCACGTCGAATGTCTCCACATTTTCTGCCCCATGCAATCCAACGTAGTCGAAAAACGAGTCATCATTAAAGTTTACGAGGCCGATTTTTAGTGTTTTGTCCTTGATTTCGTCTTGCAAAAGTCGAAACCATTTAGGTTGTCTAGTGACATATTGCATAGGCAAATTATTTTGTATAAATAAAGTTGTTGGTTTTTCTAGGAGGGAGATTGGAAGTTCACGTTGTTTTTGTCTCAGTCTGCAAGTTAGAGTTAGGTAGAGGAGGAAGAGGGAGAGAAATATGAGAGAAAATGTAAAGGATATTGGCTTAGACGATGCCATTGTCTTTTGCAGGTTACCACGTCTTTGTGGTTTATTGCTTTGTTATATACACAAGTTTTGTACTAAATTTATTAGTTCCAGTGTTTTGTTTTTATAGAAAAAAATTTGGAGGAGAAAAATTCAAGACCATCGAAAGAGTTAACGTTTGGTGGGCAGTGCAGGGACGCACGTTCACATTAGTTACATTCTAGATTTTTAATTAATTAACGGATTAGTCAACATGATTCTTTTTTGTTTATCACCATTGGTTGGAACCCGTAAATGGACATTTATCCTTCTCAAGGCCGGACAAAGTATTATATGGAAATTGTTTCATGCATTTGGTGGATAAAGGTTTTTTTGTTTTTGATTTTTGTGGTTGGTATTTATTAGGTGGGAAGAAGTTTATTGGGGTTTCATAATTTTATAGGAAGTTACTCTGACAATGTGAATTCTTTCATCTAATACTGGATTTCTCAAATCTAATTGTTGTGATATTTGTTTTTCCTTCCATAATTTGGTTAGTTTGTGACTCATTATACTCAGGATTAATTGTTTTAAAATTAAAATTCACAAATTGAGCAAAATAAGTTCAACCGCATTAAGATGCTTCACTGTGACATGCCTCACATAAACCTTTTCAAAACGTTGACCTGCATATTAACTGAAATCTGCATATTATTGTGTGTTGCTATACACCGAAATACATATACGCAGTAGTACTATATAGGAATTTTTGCATTCATATATGCTACATGAAACTATATTACCCTCCCTACTCAAGTTTTACTATAATTATATTTTGTACGTATACCTAATTACCATTTATGTATATTTTAAAGGAATTAATGATAATAGTTAGTGTCCTAAAATAACTATAACATATCTTCCACCCCCACCCCACACGTTTCTCTCTCCACATCCTACCCCCCTCCCCCACGTATCTTGCACTCACTCACGATTCTACCATTGACAACGTAACCATTAAAAAGCTTTGAAGCGTTAAATTCGAATTTGGGTTTTCAAAAAACATTATTTGTTTGAATTGGATGTTGTTGCAAAGAATTGAGAATTCTCTCTATGTCTCTGTCTATCTCTTAATCCCTAATTTCAGTAATGTAAAGCAAAGGAAAAGAGAACAGTCATTCCACTATTGACAGCCATTTCGAATTTGGGTTTTCAAAAATCATTATTTATTTGGATTAGGTATTGTTGCAAACAATTGAGAATATGGTTTTGAGTTTATATCTCAATTTTGAGGGTGTTTTGGTGAAGATTAGACTTGATTTTGGCTAAATTTCAGATTGAAACTCGAAGAAGTTGAATACTATTGTATAAAAAATATATTTAAGTTATATGATATTGTAGTTGTATTTACGACATGTACATTATATTTACGACATTGTAGTAAAATTGTAGAAAAATTGTATTCTGTTGTTTTTATATATTTTTTTTATTTAACTATTGTATGAAAGTTGAACAATACTATTGTATAAAAATATATTTAAGTTATATGATATTGTAGTTGTATATAACCGAGTAGAAATAATGTATGAAAATTGTAGATAAGTTATAAATAAGTTGTATAATATATAATTAGTTGTATGAAATTTGTTATTACTGTATATAAATCAGATACAAAATATACAAAAGACATATTGTATAAAATTTGTATTAAGTGGTATGATATTGTAGTCATATTTAACTAGGTAGAAATAATATATGAAAGTTGTAGATAAGTTGTGAAATATATAATTAATTGTATGAAATTTGTTTTTACTATGTATAAATCAGATACAAAATATACAAAAAAATATATATAAAATTTATATTTAAGTGGTATGATATTGTAGTTGTATATAATTGGATAGAAATAATGCTGATAAGTTGTATATAATTGGGTAGAAATAATATGCAGTTAGAATCTTGGAATCAAAGTTGGGTTAGGAGTTACAGTGGTAGTAGTAGAGAAGCAATTAAATACGATGTGGTGATAGTTGGAGGTGGACCTGCTGGGTTATCGGCTGGGGCTGCTATTAGGCTCAAACAGTTGTGCCAACGTGTTGTTGAGAAAGGAGCTGAAATGGGTACGTTAATTTATATACTCCTTTTATATTCTAACAATGAAATTAATTGTGGTTGTTAATTTGATTTTGATTGGATTGGACAGGTGTATTTGAGCCCCGGCCACGGGCTGGAAACAGGAAGAGGTAATTTCGTCACTAAAAATATATCCGTCATGCATTTAAGTACAAATTGTTATTTTTATCACATAAAATGAATATTTAGTGATGATTTTTCTATTGTTGCTAATAATTTCGTGGTTATGTTGTGGCAGAGAATGCACTTTGACAGGTTATATATTTTTCTCATATTCTTCTCCATTGTTGCAAATGGTCGGAGTCCGCAATAGCTATCTTCTCTTGTGGACACGTCAGAATTGTTGGACCCATTTTCTCATATTCTTCTCCTCCTTTCACCCTAAGGGACTAATATATATTTGCAACCGAATTCTGTCACTATTCAATAATTTTTAAATGTCATAAGATTTTGCAATGAATTTAGATGGATCCTCGCTTCTAAGAAAAAAATTGAAATAATGGTGCAATATTGGACATGTGAACTGGATGCAGATATGTTAGTATTTCTGCTGTTAACTTGAGTTTGCAAGTACGGGATCTTCTATTCCCGTTGATCAATTTGAGTATCTATTATAGTTTCATGTAGAAGAAATAGTAGGGGTATTAAATGAGACTTGACAAAGACAGAGTAACGCGCATGTTTTTTCAGACCACGGGGAAGTGACGAGGGAAAACAAGATTAGAGAACCACGAGTCAAGGTACAACATTTATGCATGGCTTAATTATTATGAAGAAGAGAAATAATTTGTAATTCAATAAGAATGCTGATTGTATAATTAATTACAAGATTAAAAGTTTAAAACCCAAAATCTTTTTCATTTTCTATTTTATTCTTGTTCTATATACATATTAAGCTTCAAATGAGTGAGCATAGTATCATAGTTAATTTCGATTCCCTTAATGTCAACCTGAAAATTCTATTATTCCTTTTAGAGCTGTTAATATGGGCCGGGCCAGGTTAGCCCAGTCCACATGAACTTTAGCAATTGACAAATCGGGCTGGGCTAGCCTACTATTTTGATGGGCCTTATAATGGTCAGCCCACCCCAGCCCTATGTGGGCCGCAGGCCCTCACGTACTGGCCTATCATTTTTAAAATATAACTTTATATTTATTTTTTAAGTTCTAACCTAAAAAAAAGATAAATATTTAAAAGTAAAAAAATTATTATTCGAATAATTTCACAAAACTTAATAACTTTTTATATTGTTCCAATATATCACAATAAACACTAAAAAAAGTAAAAGACAAGACTATATTTCATTTACTAAAAGTCAAAACTCAAAACAAACTATTCAACAGAAAGTGCATGACGCTTATGAGATATTCAACACATCATCTTCGTCAAACACATTTGAATCCACTTGTGACAAGGTTGTCTTAACATCTTCACTTTCATCTATATCCACGATTCATATGCAAAATTAATTAGTTGAATATTAAAAATAATTAAATTTTAAAAACTAATAATATTTAAATGCACATAAAAAATATTACCAGTTTGAGTTTGGGAAAAATCGTGCAGCCAATTTCGAGTAGTAACAAGTGTTTGGACATTTTAATGATGGATACAACTTCTGTACTTTGTGAGAACACGCCCATCAATGCTAAGTGCTGATTCTGATGCTATAGTGGTAATAGGAATATTTAAGTACATCATGCGCCATCACTGAAAGATCTGGATATTGTCTAGATTGGTCCTTCCAATACATGACAACATCCATCTCTTGAAACTTCTCATGATCAAGTTTTGATTCCTCTAAGTAAGGATCCCATTCTGACTCTCCATCACTTGTGACGATCCGGCCAGTCGTCTCATGAGTTACTGCTCCGTTTCCCCCATTTCTGCTTCTTATTGCTTTGTCTAATGGTCCTATATGCAATTGGGTTGGTTGGCTCGGGTTTGGAAATGAATTGGTAAGGTTTGAGACACTTAGGCTCTTTTGAGGAAGCTTAAGTTGGAAAAGTCAACCGGATGTTGACTTATAAATTAGAGGGATCGGATGTGAGTTCCGATGGTTCGGTTAGCTTCGGGAGGTGATTTGGGACTTAGGAGCGTGATCAGAATGAGTTTTGGAGGTTCGGAGTAGATTTAGGCTTGAATTGGCGAAGTTGATACTTTGGCGATTTTTGGTTGGTAGGTGAGATTTTGATATAGGGGTCGGAATGGAATTTCAAGAGTTGCAGTAGTTCCGTTGTTTCATTTGGGATGTGTGTGAAATTTAGGTATTTTGGACGTGGTTTGGTTGAGTTTTTTTTTATCAAAAGCGGAATTTAGAAGTTTTTGGAATTCTTAGGCTTGAATGCAATGTAATTTTGGTGTTTTGATGTTGTTTTGGGAGTTCCGAGGGTTGAAACAAGTTTGAATGAGGCTATGGGATATGTTGGCATGTTTGGTTGGGGTCCTGAGGGCCTCGGGTGAGTTTCGAAGGGTTGAACGAATCATTTTAAGTTAAAGAAAAGTTGCAGATTTTGGTTTTAACCGTTGCAGGTATTTTGTTCTTCGCTTTCGCGAGTGAACCCTCGCGTTCACGAAGGGTCAGGAAGGGAGGCATCAGGATTGGCCTTCGCGTTCGCGAGGGGGAGTCCCGCATTCGCGAAGGGCCGGAATGGGAAGCATCACGTTCGCGAGAGGCTTGACCGTGTCCGCGAAGGTTGGTGAAGTTGAGGCATCGTGTTCACGATGGTGCGATCACGTTCGCGAAGGAGACTTTTGGTCAATGGAATTTTGTGCTTCGCGAACGCGAGGCTATGACCGCGTTCGCGAAGAAGGATTTCTGATCGCTGGGCAGAATGTTTAAAGGCCATTTTCGCGAGTTTTGGCCTAAGTCCACCATTTTTTACTCGGTTTTGAGGCTTTATGAGAGAGATTGGAGAGGGAATCA